ACAGGTAGGCCTCAGTTTTTTTCTTTTTTCTGTGCCATGTCATTTCAGGAAGTTGGCCATCATGGCTCTCTTTGACGTCACCCCGGCCTCTCTGCCCCCGTGCTATCCTGTGACGACCAGTGTGACTTGGTATTGGTCGCGACACCAAATGGTACGTTCTAACCCTTGGCTGATTCGGATGGGAATCTGGTTAGATTCGGTATCAGCTTTGTCGTTCCCAGCTCGCCTCCAACGTCTGGTTACCGAAGTAACTGCTTTGATTTCTAGTCTAACCTACCCACATTGTGATTTGATCTTAGCAAGCCGAACTCGAGCAAAGGTGACACCGCACAAGTATATGTAAAAGAAAATAAAGTAACAACTCGAAAAGTTCAAATGTGTTAAAAAAAGAATAACAAATGTTTTTATATCTGGTTGCTGAATACAGGACTGTGTCTTTCTCCCAAACCGCTAATATGGATACGTGACACTTTGCGTTTGTTAGGCGAGTCTTAATATCTTAAGTTGTTTTTCAATAAACTGGTTTTTGGTATCTTCAGGCGATATTCGTAAAACTTGTTTTGGTGGTGTGAGTCTAAGTCATTCTTCAAAATTAAATTGTTTTTGGTTAGAAGTCTAAGTTAGAAGGCATGGATATCTTTCAGACAGCTTCCTGCGAGGCTGGTCTTAGAGCTAACAGCTCAACTCTGTCTGCATCTGCGTCTCCTTGGAACTTTGCCGAACTCTACTCGCTGCGACTCTGTTTATATGGACGCCGACCAAAACCGGGTGTGGGCCTGTCGTGGTTTGGGTTCCTCGATAATTCTAAATCCACAATAAGGATTTTCTTTGTTTTCGGGCAGGAAAATTTATCAGTTTCCATTTTTGGAAGTCCATTACTTTCTGCTTTAGAGGGGTTCTTAAGGGAATCGTCCTCCCAAATTCTTCCTTTCTCATATTGGTATCTCACACCAATCCCCTCAGGGGCGTCAACAGATTTCCCCTCCTTCTCATATGTTTACCTTTGCCCACAGCTCACGACACAACTCAGCCAATGACGCTCGGCAGCATGGGTGTGGCTAGCCTGACCTCAGTTTACAATTATCGCTCAAAGAAAAAAAATTATCTTCTTTTTTCTTTTCTTTCTTTTCCTTGACCAGACCCCCACGGCTCGTAGTGTGGTCCTTAATCTCTATCTTAACTGAATGTCATCTGGAATTTATCAACAAGATTTTCATCAAATGATTATCATCAGAATGGTCAAGTGAATCTCTTTGTAACCTCAATGCCTTCGTACTCCTATTGTCAACAATCTGTCCCAGTAACAAACCCTTATCATGTCCAGGTCTGGACATAAAACAGGTGTTTTTTCCCAAAACCAAATGACATTGCCGAAAGATAGTTAATGGTTTATTCTTTCCCCTTCTCTCCCTTCCCTTCTTTTTTCTCTGGGGTGGCCTCAGCTGATGCCTTTCTCGGTCGGTTGGTTGACCTGATTACGATTATCTTCCAGCATTCTGTTTTGTAGGCCACTTAACCAATTTGAAATTTTCATTATTGCCATGGGCAGATTGTTATCTTTTATTCGCCGCGTCATAGCATAAATTAATTCCGACAGATCCGAGATCTTACAAATTTCCTATCTTCTGCGAAAAAAAAAATACTTTTTTGCTTTTAATTTTCACGCTTACGCTAAATAGTGTTACATCTCTACAACTTCCTATCTTTGTTACATTAAATAACTTTTGAAACTTTAACATTCCTCTTTGTCCAATTTCTGTCATTCATTCAAACAAATTCAATATGCCCTTAGAGTGTTAAATTCTCTAGCACTTGCATTATTTATTTCCTCATCTTCATTGCCATATTCACAACGTTTCGGCCGTCCTACATTCCGGCCTTTATTTCTATGTCTCTCTATATATCTGAGATGAGCTATTATGATTATTTACATTATTCGGACTGTTATCCTCATCTTTATCACCATATTCACAACGTTTCGGCCGTTGTATGCTCCGGCCTTCTTCAGGTGTTTGGATCTCAGAGATGAGGTATTATGATTACTTACATTATTTACAATATTCGGACTGTTATCCTTACCTTCAATGCCATATTCCCAACGTTTTAGACATTGTACACTTCGGCCTTCTTCAAGTGATTGGAATATCAAACCAAACCCTTTATTTCATCCACTAGGGTGGATTGTTCTAGTTCCATGTGCTATGACTTTTCAGATATCTCAGTTATACAACTTTAACTGGCATTGTGGATCCCATACATATAGCATACCATAAAATTATATTTTATTATCTCTCTCTGTGTATGTGTGTATATATATATATATATATATATATATATATATATATAAGAGTAAGGTGATTTAAACTCTTGTAATTTCCCATAAATAAGAAAATGATATTAGCCATTTGCATATCATGTACATGTTCAATTAGATATCAATAACCATTGTGAAATTGGGAGGTATAAAGATGATGAAATTATTAATTTGGTACAAAATTTATAATGCTTTTAATTCATAATTCATTTCATAAGTTTTCTAAATTTGTTTTTAATATTTATTTTATTATTTAAAATGTTTTTAACAATACTTTTAATAATAATGTTTTCAATGTTTATAAGGATATTTTAATAATGTTTCCAATGATATTTTTAACAATGCTTCCTACAAGCCAGACAGAACTTTACTGCCTTAATATTTTATCAAAACATCAGATAAGTTATTAATGCACAAAAAATAATTCTTTTTTTTTACCTATAGTATAATCTTCCAGAATATGGTCCAAGAAAGTTATAATCTTGAATGTATAATATAAATTAGTTCTTTAAATGTCATTTTATGTTAGCCATTATTCTCAGGGTTTAGTCAATGCAAGTATGATTTAAGGTAAGTAAGGTAAGTATGATTTAAATGTAAAAAAAATAAAAATCTCTTACATTCTCAAGACACATGAGCATAGCAGGCACCCATAAACAGAACAGAATAAAATGACTTACTTAACCTGGAAACAAATAAGGAAACACTTGTGCACTGAAATACTACCAATCTAACATGGCAGAAGCCAAGAGAAGAAAAAAGGAAAACAAAAGTTTGGTTTATTTTAACTTTATCTCCCTTGACTTGTCCGATCTTCTTTCCTGCTTTTCATGCATAAATCATATTCACTGGAAAGGTACTGACTGATTTCTCTAGTGAAAGGGAATGGCCTAGAAGATAGCTAGAAGGCATATAACAAAAGAGAATAAACTAAAAGTTCACAATCAATGAATTAATGTCACAGCTAACAAGAATTTCTGGGATGAAGAGGTTTCATTACACTCAGACTAATGGGTTCTTTGTTGTTACTATTACAATATTTCAGCAGTAGTGCCCCTACTCTTTTTCTGGTTTTTATGACTCTAGATAAACTTCACATGAAGAGAGTGTCACTAGCCTGCTGACCAAAGACAAAGGGGGTTAAAATAGAGTAGTTGTAGCAGTATTAATGGCTACCAATAAATTTTTTTAAATCATGTTGAGTATGAAAAAAACTTTGCTGATATGGTGTTTCATCTTGTATGGTAGTCGTTATGTTGATGTGTTTTATAGTTTTTAATTTTCTGATTTTACATCGGGTTTAATCATTTAATCAAAAATTTGTTGAAAGTATACATTTTTGTGCCCACATGTTATGGAAGATAGAGAAGTTGATCCAAATTTTTTTTTTACCAGTTCTTTTTTGTGAAAAGTGTCTAAAGGATGCATAGTTAAGTTTGCTTATAGTTTTGTTTTGTGTGCTTTTATGTCCAGTAGAAATATCCAATCAAAGCTAAATTTTGGAGCCTTAATCCTAATTTCACCCTTGCCTTTGCTTGTGTTGCAGCTTTGTTGTCAAGGTTGGCAATCTGTCACCATTTCTATTTCTTTTGTATTGTCTTCCTTTGCCATGGCCCAGTGTCATTTCTAGCAGATGATGCTCTTTCATTTTTCATTACATAGTATTTATATCTGTGCTAAGCCTACTGAAGAGGCCATCATAGCCTAGTGTATTTGTAGATTCAGGTGGGAGAACACGACAGGTGAAAAAGGATAGCATCAGCAAAGATGAGGACATTAGCCAAATCTCTATCTATAAAAGGCAGGATGCGTGTGTGTGTGTAACAAATGCACGGCTGCAATTTTCGATGGATTTGCACCAAAATTTACATGCACATGTTCCAAGTTAGTGGGAAGGCCAAAACTAACTTTGCATTTCCCAACTCCCATCACTAGTGGAAATAATCGATTTTTTCATGCTTCTGCGGCAGTTTTCATGTAGTTTGTGGCCATTTTGTACTGGCCAGAGTGAGAGCCTATAGCTGGCTGCCACAAATAGCCAGGAAGATTCTACTGGCCAGCGTGAGAGCCAACAGCTGACTGACACGAATGTTAACTAGCATATATATCGATAGCTGCATTCATCACAAGTGGGAAAAATTTAAATCTGCATGGCACTTTACTCCAATTGGCTCATTCGCTTGCTTAAACTCAACATTGATTCTGATTCTGCAGAACTGGGTTGGGTGTGAAAAAGTATTTTTGTTGTTATTTTTTTTTTCATTCGATTTTTCCAGTTATGAGTCCTTTTTAAAGCTGATTGTTTTGTGTTCATTTTGTTTAGTTCTTTTTTTGTAACAGATTTAATGTTTAGCATAGAGCTTAGAAAAAATTTGCAGTGTGAGATAGGCAAGAAGTAAAGCATGTAGCAACTTGAGCACGGCAAAGGGCACTCCCTTAAAGGCAAGGAAGGGCAAAAATATTTTCAGTCAAGTGGTAGCGATTGCTGTATGTCGTATGATTTTTGAATCAACCACGGGCAATGCCAGGCCATGCTGCTAGTTGTAAATAATACTAAGGAGAAAGAGGTCACAAGATTTATGAGAGTAGCATAATTAAATCAAAAAGTATACTTTGGAAGGATGTTTTGTTAAATAAAGTACAAAATAAAAAAATTAAAAAAATTAAAAAATTAAAAGTGACTTACCGGCATTTATTACAAACTCTTTTCTTAAAGTGTTCATGAAGATAGGATTCTACAAACATTTGGCCACAATCTTCACAAAGCAAATCTTTGCTATAAGTCATGGCAGGGCCTGTAGATAAAAGATAAGTAAAAAACAATCAGACAAATAATAAAAAATAAGTGGTCAGAGATGATGGTATCTTTGAACTAACATGATTAATTTTGCTATTTCTCATTTTAGTAAGCTTTAAGGAATTAAATCTTCATTGCATTGATATTTTTCAAAGATAATCTCAGAGGAGGAGAATATTTCCAAAATCAGAATAACTGAAGCAAAATACAGAAAATTAAATCTGTCATGATGGAGACATAGCCAAAATGGTTAAACAAACACAAGGATGCAAATAAATTTCTATTTAAATTTAAAACAAAAATATATAATATTTTCAAATAATGCCCTAAAAAGAAGAAAAAAGAAGTAACAAAGCAAGGAAGTGAATTATTAATTATATTATTTGAATTAATTCACCGCAAGCAAGATGATAATGCTACTAAGACATAAGAGAATGAAGTAATATTTGTTTCAAATCAGATTAATTATACTTTAAATTACTCAAATAAAGGTTCAGGAAAATATTTTTTTGAAAGATATTTTAGTAAGGAGAATTGCATTGTAATCAAAGATGACTAAATAAGGGCACTAATCAGCTATTTCAGGAAGAAAAAATTCCTTCCAGTCAATTTAAATGAGTTTTTGAATTACAGCAAAGTATTTTGCTTATTAGAAATATTAAATTTAATATAATTAACTTGAAATTAAAACTAAAATAAAAGCTTCAAGAAAGATTTTTTCATTTTTAAAAAATGATTTTAAACCTTAGATATCACATTGTTTGTAGAGGTTCCAACTTAAGTGGTATAATATTTTTTGTAATCAATTCACCTCAGGCAAGGCAAGAATGCCACTAAGATACAAGGGAGTGAAAGAGAATGAGAAGGCTTTAGAATGAACCAGAAAACCCAATCCTAAACAGGAAGCAAGGGATAAACCTCTACTCCTGTTCAAAAGACTGGAGAGGGGAATAAACTGGATGATAGACAAAATTATCTAGACCTATTGAAATTAGTTTTATTTTATCTTATTGTTTTAAGATGGAAGAGGCCAAGAATAATAGCTGCTGCAGATTGTCTAAGTTAAAAAAAAAAAAAAATAAAAACATGGCTGGAAGGTGGCACAAACTACAGCATAATGTTGCCTTAGGGTTGCCCACCAAAAGTGCTTGCTGGGAAACATATTCACATGGCACTTCAAAAATCCTTATATTCCGTGACTCATGATCAAAGCTGCCTAACTATGTGTTATCAGGGAGTTTGGGCTCCTTACTACCAGTTAGGATGCATATAAAAAAATAGATAAAAGAAATTAAAATGCTTTCCATCTGTGAATAGAATTGAAACATTTGATTTAGAGAGAAATTCTAAGTGTGAGCACATATTTACAGAGAAACTAATGTTTTCATCTTTATTATGATGTTTCGGCTGTTGTGTCCTCTGGCCTTCTTCAGGTACCTGTCAAAGTGGGTAACCTACAATGAATTTCAAACTGAAATCTTTATTTAATTGACAGGAGTAGATTGTTCTTGTTCCACTGTCTAGGGATAACTTGTTTTGTCGTATTTTATTACTGCTCAGTTAAGGCTATTCCTGTTCCCAGTCAAGGTTTGTACTACCAGGTTCAGGGACTGAACTCATAACCCCCAAATTTAGGAACCATTGCTTTAATCTTGCATGCTAGTATCTTGTAGAAAAGAAACTAATTATGCATTCAATATAAAATATAAAAATGGTTAATAATAATGTGCTTACAATTAAGCTAACAAATTTGACAACTTCTGTAGCTTAAAATAAAAATATAATTTAAATTTATTTCAGTAACTGACCTTACCGATGACATCAGTTCTCAGTTTGGTATTTACGCTGATGACCCAACCATTTACTCCTGCCTCGATAGTATGGCGGATCAGTCAGACAAGGTCAAAATGGCAGATGATGTGCAAAACAACCTCAAGACCATCGTCAAGTGGGGCAAAAGATGGCTTGTCAATTTTACCGTCTCCAAAACTAAACTGCTCTCCATTAATCATCTGAGAGACCCCCACTCTGCCTTTCATCAGCATGGCTGATGCTAACCTCCAGGCAAATGGCTTGCTGCACCTTCTCAGGCTAACATTCTCAGCCGACATGAGGTGCAAAAACTACATTGAATCCATCGCTAGATCAGATGCTAAAAAAGTCAGTTTATTGTGTTGTGCAAGACGCTTAGTCTCTCCAGAATCTATCCTATACGTTTCTATAAGTCTACCATTTGTTCACGCTTAGAGTATTGCTGCCACATATGGTCCAGTGGCCCTGCTATTTACCTTGAGCGCCTTGGTAAAATCCAAAGAAGAATCACTAATGACCTGGCAGTTTGGCTTTAGTCACTTTCCCATCATCGTAAAGTTGCCTTCCTGTGTCGTTTCTATAAATACTTTCACGGTAATTGTTTGGATGAGTTCTTCACTATGGTACCTAGACTTTTTGAATTTAACCCTAGAACACTAACCATCAATTAAGTTATACCACTACTAACCATGGGTAATATCATACCTGATTTTGAAAATACCCCCCCAAAATATTAAATATAAATCTTTATTTGAAATATTTTACATGCAGGCACTTTAAACTTTGTACTTTGAGTTAACATTAATAGGAACTGAAAAACATACTTAGGTAAGAAAATCAGGTACTGAAAATTGTAATTAAAAATAGGAAAATTTGCACTGGGTACTATATACCCATGGTTAGTGTTCTAGGGTTAAGCGCAGTACTAGACTGGCATTGAGTTCTCATCAATTTACAGTTGAGCTGGGTAGATGTAACTGTAAATTCTATGCTAACAGTTTCTTTTCTCACACTTCTCACTTGTGGAACTGCATTCTGGCTCCATGCTTTCCAGCCAACTTTAATCTGAAAATTTAAATATAATGTCAATCGCTATCTACTGTCCTTCTGATTACTCTTTTCGCTTTCTGCTCATTATTAATGTTTCTGTTCCTAATTCTTCCACACCCAGTAACCCCTTGTGTTTTCGTGGCTTTACTGCCTTGCATGGGATGATACCAATTTTAAAAAAATGAAAAAAACTGAAACAATTATGTGTTAAACATTAAAAGATTTAAGGGATGTTTAAGTTTAATAGTTTGTGAGTAGTGAATCCAACCCAAAGTAGGTGCTCAATATTGGTGACGTTGTGCAAAACTAAGAGAAGATCAGTAAATTATAGGAGTAAATTGGCATGTCTATTGTCTATTTTCCCCTATCCACCAGTCTTTTGAACAGGCATAGAGGTTTATCACTTGTTTCCTGTTTAGGATTGGGTATCTGATTCTTTCTAAACTTTACTTCTAATGTCTTCACCTAAACTCTGAAACATTACTTAGTGTTTTTTTTTTGTTTTCCTCAATAGGAGGAGATAGGTGAACCTATTATCTGGTTCAGCCTTCTCCTCCGTCTTTGAAGCAGAGGTTTATCCCTTGTTTTCTATTTAGGATTGGGTTTCCCGGTTCATTCTAAAGCCTTCTCATTCTTTTTCACTCCCTTGTGTCTTAGTGGCATTCTCACCTTGCCTGGGTTAAATTGATTAAAAAAAAAAAAAAATTACCACTTAAGTAGGAACCTCTACAAATAATGTGATACCTAAGGTTTAAAATGAATTTTTAAAAATGAAAAAATCTTTCTTGAAGCTTTTATTTTAGATTTAATTTCAAATTAATTATATTAAGTTTAATATTTCAAATAAGCAAAATACTTTGCTGTAATTCAAAAACTCATTTAAATTGACTGGAAGGAATTTTTTCTTCCTAAAATAGCTGATTAGTGCCCTTTTTGATTACAATGTAATTCTCCTTATTAAAAAATCTTCCAAAAATAAAATATATTTTCCTGAAACTTTATTTTAGTAATATTCACTAATTTAAAGTAGGATTAATCCAATTTGAAACAAATATTATTTACTTTAATATTATTTAGTTTCAAATATTGCAGAAATGCATTTTTTTAACCTGACAGTAGTTTTTTTTGACATGTTGACAGTTTGATGTCAGATCTAATATTGTCCTACAGAGATTTTATCTGTAAGACATAATGGAAAACAATAACTTGAGTGTCTTTTTCATATCATTTTTAAGTACTTAGTAATCTTAGAAATTTAGGAAAATATTCTTTGTAATCTAATGTTTTATTAAATTTTAAAAATTCTGACTTTAAATTTACTATAGTTATTGCTTCTATTTTCTGATAATGTCATGTATGGTTGCCTGTACTTACAAAAATCAGCATATTTATACACGTACCAAAAAAATTCAAAATTCTTTTAAAATATTGTTGTTTGATGATTTGTATTAAGATTTTCCATTTATGATTAGTAAATATATTTTACTTAATAATAATGTAAAATCTAAAAGGCTGAAATTAATACAGAATTCAAAAAAAAATTTAAATTTAATAAATTTATTAAAAAATTTAAAACTTAAGTTTTCCTAATAAATTTAAAAAAAAATTTTAAATAGAAAAATTTATTCAGTTTGATTTGTATTAATTTTAGCCTTTTAGACTAGGTGTCCTTAATATATCTTATATATAAAAGCAATTCAAAGCTTTTCTAATTAAATAATATCATAGACTTACTACATTTTATTTTACAATTCAGAGCAGATTTTCGGTACATGGTGTTTCTGTTTGACAAAAACAAATTATGATTTAAATTCTCCAGGGAGTCTTGCTTTTATCTAATATCAATATAAAGAGGCTGAAATTTAAATTTTTCAGTGTTTCATAAAATTAAGTAAGTAGAAGTAACAGATGTAAAAAATATATTTTTACCAAGATTTTCTAAAAAAAAAAAAAAATTTCTCAAATAATTTAATTTGTGAATAAGTCCTGAAAATTTCATTAAAATCCGACAATTATTTGATTTTTGCAAGAATTTCCAAAACAATGTGTTTTTACCACCAAAGAAGAAGCTAAAAATCACTATACTAATATTAGCCATCCAAAGTTGCAAAAAAAAAAAATGAATTTTTAATCAAAATTTGGAACGTGCTAGAAAGGTTTAAACAATTTAATAAAATAATAAAAAAAATATTTTGGTATTTCCTCTTAATAATAAACGTTTTGACGATAAAACTTTTTATCAAATTTGGAGTCTTTTTTCATCATGCTATGCTCTTTTTTCGAAATTTTTTTTGAGATATATACTTTCAGGTAATAAAAACAAAGTAAAATATCCAAGGGAAGCAACTTAAACATTTTATTGAAAAGTTGTTCCCCCTGATAAATTAAATTATTTCATGTTATGAGAATGTTATTCAGTGACATTACAAAAAGAAAAAAAAGATCTTTATAAGGAGGTAACTTCGCATCTCTCGATAATTGGCTAAACATTGTCATCAGAATTCTGGTAAAAACAAGGAAAATATTTTTATTTTTTTTTTTTAGGCTTCTTTCATTTTGTATGAATTCTAAATTGATTCTTTACTTTTGGATTTGGTACATCAAAGGAAAAGAATAGTTACTAGGTAGTGTAAATGTCTTCTTCAAATATTCTATATGTCTTATCTATCTAACTATATATATATATATTAATAATTACACATATACCTACGTCTACAGTATGACTCATAACTTTTGTACCGGATGAATGACTAAACGATGATACTCTGAGTCATACAGTAAACGTGGGTATATCTTTAATTATTAATACATACTATATAGCTCTGTTTAACTATACTGAACACTGTTTTGTCTACACTATTGATTAATTAAATAGTTATTTACTCCATTATACGTGTACGTAATTGCTCACATATATGGTTGATCATATCTCTTTATTTAGTTCATCTTGACATTTAAATAAATAAATAAATATATTTAAAAAAATTTTGAGAGTATTTTTTTCAATCTAGTCAAATTCATCTGCATTCTTTTTCTTTCCATCACCTTTGTTGTTCTTTTTCATTTCTAGAATGTTTTATTGATATATAAAATTGTATGTAGTTATATCATACCATTGACATGGAAAAACTCTCTCTCTTTCTCTCTCTCTCTCTCTCTCTATATATATATATAAAATACATAAAAGGTTAATGGTCAGAGTTGAATCAGTCCAGGAAACAATAGTATTAAAAGGTGATCAATACATGTGTTAAAAATAAAAGTAAAAATAACATGTAGAGCTTTTAACTTTAAAAATCAGGTCAGTTGAACTAACCTTATTTTTTATATATATATATATATATATATATATATATATATATATATATATATATGTGTGTGTGTGTGTGTGTGTGTGTGTGTGTGTGTGTGTGTGTGTGTGTGTGCCTTAATTAATGCCTAAATGCAAAGTAAGTATTTGTTCATATATTTGCACTTACACATTATTTCATTTTTCATGTGTAGGAGTTTGTTTTGGCTTCTAAAATTATTTGTAATTTTTGCTCTAAGTATAGTTTGTTGTTTCTACTGTTAATGCTGCCTGGGGCTGCCATTTTTATAATTGACCATTTGATTTTGGTGGGGATATTGTTTTTTGGGGTTTTTTTTTGGTTTTGGGTATATATGTATTTTGATTGGATTTTTCTTTCAAAGGACATTTTGTGGTTATAATATCTTTCTTTTAGTCTTTTTTGTGACACCTATATAAACTTTTTCCTCTGTGTTAGTATTATTAGTTATATTATTACTATTGTTAAAACCTCATGATGAATGGACAGAATAATTACAAAAAGGTTTGTCTATAAAACTCTAGAGTCAAGGTACTGAATATAGCATCAGTCAACTAAGTAATAAATTTCATTTGCATAATTATATATATATATATATATATATATGTATGGTATTTACCTTTAACATATTCCACATGTTGATTTTTAAGGTCCAATTCATCTTCTTCATCCAGAAAAAATCCTGCTCCAGTGTCAATCTCTTTGGCAGGAACCTTCATCAAATGTTTTTTTTCTCTAAAGTGAAAAAAAATAACATGAAGAAGTCGTATAGACTATGACATGGGAAATCATAAGTTTATAAAGGCAGTAATTCTTACTAATTCAAACAAAATTTAAAAAAGGAAGAAATGAAAATTCGACAAAAAGATTCCTTGCGCCAAGTAAACTAATCTTATGCTTGTAAAATACTATGAAAATCATTAACACAATTCTCTGCTTGTGGTCATAACTTTGTTTACATTTTCATACACTTGTACATCATCTACAATAAACTAATAAGTGCCATTATAAACTTTCACTTTTTGGTTAAACTTCAGCATACATAGAATAAAACAGCTGCATAATCCCCAAATTTGTATGTCTTCTTATTTTGTTGATTGATGTGTGTGCAGTGGGGCAGTTATCAATGCAGAAAGTCAGATTGGCATGTTGAATTCAATTTCCAACTCAAGAAAGCTACGTTTTCCAAACCGTTTTTTTCCCCCCATCTATTTCCAAGCTGAACTCAACAATGCTTTTCATTCTTCTTTACCTTTGGATCAAGACCAACATTATATTTTGAAACAGGTAGACTACAGAATGTTGCATTTGCAAGTCATTTTATGCATTTTCTACAAGAAATCAATGAACTGGATCAATAAATAAATGAAAAGGTCCCTTTTCTTGTATTTATGCTTGCTGTTAATCTGCTATTGTAAAAAGAAAATTTTTTAAAAAGTCCTCCCTACAAGACGGACTGGTCAGTAAATATGCAAATTTATTTTACTGCTGGCCAAACATAAGCAGCACTAGTCAAATAAACTGCTTTAATAACTTAAAAAAAAAACATTTTTAATTTTGTCACCATCAGGGTGATTTTCCTTTGCATGACTTAAAGTTAAGTGAGCAAACCTTACAACTTTTTGTAACCTTCTATTCTTCCACTGGATATCTTTTTCCCCAATATCAAATCTCTGATGTCCTCAGACAGCAGCAAAGTATTTTACAAGCTGATCAAATTCAGTGATGTAAATTTTACCACATAAAAATTATTTTGTTTGACAATATATCAACTCCTCATGGGTCATTTAATGCCAAAATTAAATTTTCTTGGGAGCTTGTGTAATTTTTCTTTTTACCAAAAATCTATTGCAAGTTTTTTATTTTTCTTTTACAAAAATCTGTTACTGGTAATTTATTTATTTTAAAAAAAATTCTATTGCTGGTATAATTCTATTATTATTATTATGCTGATATCTTTTTACTATGAAATTGTATTTTTATACTTTCATAGTGATTTGACCCCAGTTTGGAGTTCACTATTTGGCCATAGCTAGGACCCCTAACAGATGCTACCACCTCAGGTCAGGGTGGACCTAGGAACAACAGCAATTAAGAAGTGGGTCCATACTATTCAAAACCTCCCGATCAGAGGCCTTACTACTGGAGGTAGTTTATTGTCATACCTAGGATGGATAAAAGTTATTTTTCAAATGAGTTGGTTGTTTAGGATCAATAAGAAAAAAACTACATCTAAGGTAAAGCAAAATAAGGTTACATGGTAGCACAACTAATTTCTGATAGTTTGGAACTAACATATAAATTTGTTAGATTTTAATCTTTACATATCATGTGATAAGTAAATTGGAAAATAGTAATGACTTTACTCACTCTTTTGTTTGGAATGATTTAGCACTCAACCGGGATTGTCGTAATAGCAATGCTTTTTGCCGATTTCTCTCAATTTGGGCTTTCTGGGCAGCAGACAACAATTTACAACCAACCTGGACACCATCATCACCAAAGGAAATTTTCTTTTCAGGAGGGATGCTTTCTTCTGTATCATCAGATAAAACATCTTCTTCATCTGGAAAGTCTTCATTTTGAGAAGTTGGCTCTATAAAAATAACAGATAACAACTATTTTGAAATACAAACTAGAATTTGGTATTTCTAGACACTGAAAGGTATTATCATATTTGTGCATGCTTACATAACATTTAATATTTTTTACTTTCAACCCATTTTAAGAAAATGGCATCATGGTTTCAGACTATCTCACAAGGAAGAATTTGTTGAATAATCACTCAAGGTAGAGGTGTATGTTGTGTGGTGTTGTGTGAGCATAAGAAACGGTAACAAGTTCATGGGGCTATGCAGGAAAAATAAAGGTTAACTTTATATTTGAAGAGGTCAACATTGTTGTGATTGGGAAAACTTAAGAGAATGAACAGATTTTAAAAGGAACTGGAAACCCAATCCTAAACAGGAAACAAGGGACAAAATTCTACTCCTGTTCAAAAGACCAGGGAAGACTGTAAGCTGGACAATAGACAAACATATCTACCCCTATTAGGAAAGAAGAAAAAAAATAATTAGTGAATATACTTTCAGAGTTCAGGCAGAGACTTTAGAAGTACAGAGTCAAAGTAGACTTCATAAAGAATCAGAACAGGACCCACCTATAATTACTCGGCCATTTCTCTTAAAAAAATAAAATAAACATCTTCCTGACATGATGTACATTCAGGAGGATGTTACATTTTTCATATAGTGTAAAACATATTCCAACTGACTGTAGTGACCTGACCTCTATACGTCAACAATTTTATGAAATGCATAGTCTAGCAGACCACTTCACTACTTGAAGAAGGTTGATCTATAACACAAATTATAGCATTAAGTAACTCTGTTCTAAAGGTATAAGTGGAAAGTGATGTGACCCACAATCCAAAGGATTGTTCAAAAGCTATATATTAAAAAAAATTACTTTTGTATTAAATAACTGACAGTTAACAGACTGCAAAACTGTAATGTTACCACAAAGTAGAGGAAGACCTTCCAAACACAAATGTAATACAGATTCTACTTTGCATAAACATAGTACTTCAAAAAAGAATATGTAAGTTCAATATAAATTACATGGTGAAAATGATTTGGTAACAGCAAAACTGATTTCAAAATCTGGAAAATCAATCCCAGGAAAGATAAGTGATTGATTTTGACAAATATGTTGAGGATATTGATTTATATCCAGAATCATCTCAGTCAGATACCATTTTTTTAATCATTTGACCCCAAGCAGAGCAATAATGCCACAACGATGCAAGGGGTTACTGTAAATGAAAAGAATTTAGTGAAAAGGAAGGACAATAAAAGAACAGAATTCAGGGAGGCACAAGTTTGCAAGTGACATTGCATTAAAGTTTTAAAGATTGTAGGTGACAGATAAGCAAGAAATTAGAAGAGAACTCCACAGATGAGAAAAGAAAGTATTAGAATAGAACATATGGTTCCATCTAGTTCAAAAGTGAAATGGTAAGATGTCATTACTAATCTAGTAGTAAACTTAAATTCATGTCATTGAGGCTACAATGAGGAAAGCTCATCAAAACAGTTACCATGAAAATATTTGTAGAAAAGACAGAGTGAAGCCACATCACGATGGTGAGAAAGTGACTGAACTTGAGATGTCAGGTCATGATCGATTATATTTCAGACCTATCATTGAATTTTGTTAAGAATTTCAAGATATATAGAAGGGGCATCAGACCAGATATGACAGAAGAAAATATTTTTGTCATCAGCATAAACTCAAATAATGGAACTATTCCAAACTGAAGCATTGCAAGACACGCAACCAAAGAATTAGACAAGTGATATTTATGCTGATGCTGAGGATAATGGACAATATTGCATATTTATAACATGGGTTATAACACCAAAAGTTATTGATGAAAAGTTGCAAAGAAAGGCTAGGCTATGGGCTCAGGAATTCAAAGAACACAGTTTATATAGGACAGATAATCCCACATGCATGTGGGAAAGTGTATGAATTACTTTATGGCTTATTGTCTCAAATCCATGGGTCTTTCATTCTGTTGATTATAAAACAGATTTCCTAGAAGAAACACTGATCTCCATCCACATTATGATTGTAAAACTAATAAAATTTGGTAACTTAAAAAGCCTAAGGATTAAAAAACGCACCTTGACACTGGTTTCTATGACTCAAAGAAGAGATAATCAAACTCGGTGCAAGGTTAAGTATATAAGATTAAGATGTTTTCTTCTGTCATTCTACAGATGGTCTTGAGTATGGTATGTTTTGTTCATGATCAACTGTCGGTAGAGACATCAAACTTAACCAGAGACCAGATTTCTCCATCTGTATCAATCAGGAAAATTACATTAAAAAAAATTAGCACAGATATCGGCTACTTCAAAAAGACAATGCAGTTACCACTGAAGAGAATGCTAAACTGAGGTGCCTCATTGGTCAACTGAATTGGACTGCTGGCATGACATACCCTGACATAGGTTTTGCTGTTTGTCAGTTGAGCTTAGCACTCCCAAATGCAAAAGTTAACCATCTAAATAGGACAAATAAGATTTTAATGTATGTGGAAAAACACACCAACTGCCGTCCAATTTGTGAGATTTAAAAATCTTGAAGATTTAAAGATTGTTTTTCTTCTTCAAGTGCTGTGTCCCATCAGGACATAAACAATGACGGCTCTACACAATTTCCTATTTTATTTCCTATAGCTCTTAGTAAATTTTTTCTTTTCGTTATTTCTCCCAAACTCATCCATCCACTTAGTCAAGTTCACTAAGTATGTTATGTGTTGTTTTCTTTTGTCCCTCTTACCTTCAATCTGTCCTGTGAGTATCAAATTTTCAAAGCCCTCTTTCCTCATTATGTGCCCTAGAAATTTCGGCTGTCTCTTCCATGGTATTTCATCTTTCTTTCTGTTATATTTTAGAGTTATTTTCAGTAAACAAAATAAATTTTTTGTAATTCTCACAAATGTTATGACTAAAAAACCAATAATTTTTTGCAGTTACCTCAGAGGTATTCAGAAAACTACATTGAGAGATTGTGAAAATTTAACTTGCCAAATGCTAGAAATATTAAAAACATTTTGTTTTTTTTTGTCAATTGTTCAAACAACACAGGTATGAATAGAAGGTTTTAAACAATAAATACAATGACACTTCCCTCTGACTTTTACCTACTGATAAAAACGATTTTTTAAAAATTATTTCTTCAGGAAAAAGTTGGAAATTTGGGGAATTTGAATTTTAAAGAATTTTTGCATACGAAATTGTGAATTATCGCTCTTACATTTAGTAACGATTTTTTTCTTTACTAATGACAAATAAATTAATTTAAAAATTAAATACTTAATTATTGATATTTTACACTGAAGTTTAGACATGCATTTTCCAAATTTTATAATATGAGGCTTGGTTAAAAAAATAAAATAAAAATATAAATAAATAAAATTCATTTTATATTTTCTGGGCGAAAAGTCAACAAAACACGAAATCTTTGCAGTCACGTATGAAACTATTTTTTAAATTCAAATCATCTTCGCGTAATTAACGATTACATTTTTATTTCTGGTAGATTATTTATTAATTACAAAAAAATAAAATATTTATTAAATTTTTATTCAAGAAATAGTGTAATTTAATTTATGTTTAGTTTATTGATCATTATTTTTTTTAAAAACAATCCAATACCAAATCTACGTTAATAATTTTTTGAAGAGATAAAATTAATCCTGACTTTTTTTTTCTAGCAAAAATCCAGGAAACTTTCGAACAATAATTTTGAAAATGTTTCTTTGTTGAAGCACTTTGAATAAAGAAAGAAAGAACATTGCAAAAAAAAAAAAATAAAGTTTTGATGATTCAGACATTTTCATGAAATAGTAAGACAATTTACATCAAAATATTGTCTCCTAAAACGAGAACAGAGAACTTTGTTGCGATTAATAAACTCCACATGAAAAAGAAACATTTTTTTTTTAAATATCAAATTCTCAGATACAAGACATGTGACAATCGGAAAGACGAGGTCCTTAAATAAAAATAATCTCTTCCGAAATAAAATGATTATTGAGCTTTTATAGATTTATAATTAGTCTGGTGAATATATTTTTATACAAGAAGGTTTATCTCGCGAACATGTTAATCGTTTAGAGTTAAAGGGATGGAAATCACTTCTGTTTACATACCAACTGAAACATTACACGACGCCATGTTGGAAAACTAACATTGCCAGAAAATTTGACAAGGGAGATTACTCTAAGAGAAACTTTAAGAATTAATTCCCTTACAATTTTTCGTTTTTTTTTTTTGGTTTGTTTTTTGTTTTGTTTTGTTTTGTTTTTTAATTTTAATAAAGGATACCCTCCAGTCTTGACATCATTTGGAATACTGACGCAACAATCCAATTTTATTAACCCTTAATTAGCACATACAATCGTGTAAGTATAAGACATGCTACACTAAATATTAACTATAATCAACTTCGTGGCCGAGATGTATTTTTGAAACCATAGCTGATAGTAAAGCCAACATTTCGAAGAAGATAAATCTCTCTCTCACTTTCTCTCTCTTTCTCTGATCGACCTTGGGGATCATGGCTTTTGATAGATATATTTTTTGTTGCTGTTATGGAATTTAAAAGCTTGTGTGTTTGTGAGTATTTTTAGTTAGGGTAAGTAAGTATAAGCATTGTATGAGGTCAAGTCAGCCTTGCGCAGAGTTGGAACAACCGAACGGAGGTTTCTACTTACTTTATCGCTGGAAAGTTTAAACACAGTTATAGAATGACCGTTTTGTTTTACTTAGTCCAAAAGTTAGGGTAAGCAAATATAAGCCTATCATTACAATGGTCGCGCTCAATATCGCCTTGTGCTGAGTTGGAACAACGAAAGAGTAAGATTGACTTACTTCGTGGTGAAGGTTTTTGAAAGATACGTGCGAGCTCCATGCGTTGGAAAGTGTGAAAAGAGTTCAGAAGTCAGTGGACCGGGGAAATTAACGTTATTCTCCAGAGTGGCAATTATCACATGATGTTAATTTTTGGTGCAAGGGTAGAAAAAGAGTGAGTGAACAGCTGTTTGCTTCTTTATAGTCTTCAGCAGCACTACCTTATGGCATTTTATAAAACTAAGGGGTGTGGGGGGGGATTATATCTCCGGTTCCTTTGCTCTTAGCATCGTCTTCAAAATACTTAATAAAATTCTTTTCTAATTCTGACACTATTTTGGTTTGTTATGATGGAAAGTTCGATTGTTCTGGTTTATTCTTGCGTGCAGTTTTTTTTTCTTGACTCGGAATCAAATAAAAGACATGCTATTTCTTAAAGCTATTTTCCACCCTTTTCAAAATCAGCTCCAATTGTTTTACGAACAATAAATTCTGTGGTTAAAGGAGCAAAACTCCAGGAGTGGAAAATATTTATTCCACTTTCCTTGTCTTTTTGTCGTTAATATTAATGTGGAATTTGTGCGTTGCTTCCTCTTACAACAATAAATGAGAAGTAGTTCGACTCATTAGGCGTTACTCTGATTCCGAGAGCTGACAACTAGGAATTTCTGGCAATGATTGCCGTCTTTATAGTTCGATGCGCTGATCCAATTTATCCATTTATTTTGGATGATAGGATTTTCTCCACAGTCTGAAAACAATTCCGATTCGAATTGAGTACCTCTGTAACGACATGCAGGAGAACTCCAAATCAGGATATTGTAGGGACATTATTATTATTATTATCAATAAATAAGAATAAAAATATAAAATGTAACAATATCAATGAATATCATAAATAAAATAAAACAAATAACATAAAAACGTTGTTTAAAATAAATTAAATTAAGTTCTCCCAGCATGCAACAGAGACGGTTTCTGTCGGAAAACACGGACTTCCCGCCAAAAGACGTTGCATTCATTTTCTTCGCTACTGATCGTTGGAAAGTGTAAACATTGCTTGTGAAGTGAATTTTTCTTTTTATCCCATGCAATATTAGAACAACCAAAAAAAACAAAAAAACAAAAAAAAAATAGACACACCAGTATACAAAAATGAATAAGTTGTATGATTTTAATTTACAATGTAACATGCTTTTAGTGTTATTTCTGTGTATTTTTTAGCTATGTGAACACGAGGTTATACCTGCTGCTATGATGTGAGGATGTGAGTGACCCCGCAATATCCTAGCGTCCACGAAAGCTGTAGTTAATAATTGTACTTAATCTCCGTCAAGAGACACGCTTCTATCTACCGAGTATTTCTATCGATACACATTAGTAAAAAACGATAAGGTGGGAAATAGGAGCCAGCAATTTTTTTCACTGGTTTTAAGAGTCCCATTATATCCAGCTGCACTGTTTACAAACCATTAGAAGATAAATCAAATGACTGAATTTCACACTTTTTATATGTAGTGACCTTAAACGCATTAACAGTAGCAGCTGTAAAATGAGACTTATCAGGAGCAGCTCTCGAATATAAAAACACGTGAACACTAAAGTAACCCTCTCTCTTCCAGTTTTTCTTCTTTCAATCTGCTGTAATGAAATTTCCATGCTAAAGCTAAAAGGGCTGTGAACGCTTCAAACATTAAACCCACCATCAAAATAAGTTTCACTCAAACAAATTAATGAACATTAATTTTTTAAATTGTGTTACGTTCTGTAAGTATTACTTGCACTAACTATATATATTGTCCTCCTTGTATTTCATTTTTGAAATCTTTTGCATATAGGATTTTCTCTTAGTAATTTTCGTAAAAAACACAAAAATCTTTCACGAAATTAGGCTTTGAATTAACAATTTATGATAAAATATTTTATAAACTTTAACGGCGAACAGTTAAAATTTTAGCTTTCCACTACCACTTTTTCATCAATGTCGATTTTCGTGCAAAAAGCGGATCACAGCTTCATACATGTTTCTGAAAACCTTAACTTCTCATTGGACAATAAATATTAAAATTATCTCGTGTATATTGTTCTCAATAAGCAACACATATCAGGCTCCGGACTGAGTTTTGTAAGGCGCTTTCTGAATGGTTAACAAATATTAAAAAAACAATTTACTTGCTCACCACTACGTCCGAATAACATCAACCTAGTTTTTGACCTGACGAAAAAACAATGCTCTCAGGATCCTGTCACGTGATTAAAAAACATATAAATTGAAGGTACGAGCGAAGCCAGTCAGTGAGAATTTACGACGACTGGCATTTGCTAAACGAGTCCAGGACGCTTCGGCTTGTATCATTACTGCAGCGAAGTACAAAGTTAAAATCTCAAGTTCTTTAACACGAAATAACTTCGATGTAATTCAAGCTAAAATATCAACTAAACAACTCACTCACCAACTTCTGCAACTTACTAAAACTATTCAATCACGTAACTGAATCTTACGAAACTTAAGTACGAATAATACATTCAACTACGAGCAACGAAAACAAAAGGTCATTCACTTCTCCAACTTCTTTAAAGCTAAAAGTTTATCAACATATTTTCAGCTTTACAAGATTTTTTAAACTCTCTTTCAGTAAACTTTTTGAGCGACAAGTTAATTCAACTTTTTTTATGTGAGCTCTGATAAAAAATATTTTTAGTAGTAAAGAAAGGCTTTACTGTGTTCTTTCTCTTGTTTGCTTTTTGTTTTCTTACACATTCGTAAAGTAAAAAATGTGCGGGTTGATTTACGCCATCATTACCACTACATAAATGGTGACCCCGAATACGAATGTGCGTGGAAAAGTATTGAGCGATATTTATGAGACTTACTCAGATTTCACATTGGCAACTCTGACGTTTGTACCGACGTTTAAAAATTTGAATCACCACATTAGACCCAACTTAACTGGTATCCTAACTCCGCGTCGAAGAGATATTAACATTATGGCTGAGCAAACTGATGCACACACAGAAGCCGCAATAACTGAATTTGCCAGCTTACAACAGTATCAACGTGCAGGTTTGCACAGTTAACTGCTATATCCAACGCAAAGAGGATAACTTCATAAACTTCCCGATATGCTTACGTTGTTGAGAAGCTACCGGCGCAGTTAGCGATTGAGGTTTCGGATCTCCTGGATGAGATGACATCTGATAAACCCTAAATAATAATACCCTAAAAGAAGCTATACTCCATAGAACTGGTCAATCTGAGGAACAAAAGCTGTGTGACCTCTTTAATAACTTAAGCTTGGGACAAAGTAAACCGTCACAACTTCTGCGTAAAATGCGGGTACTATTAGGAAGCAACACAATGTCTGACACAGTGTTAAGACAGCTTTGGTTGGACAAGCTTCACGTGAACACCATCCAAATTTTGGCTTCCCTCCCAGACGAAATTGAACTACAAAAACTAGCTGAAATAGCTGATAAAATAGCTGATAACCAGCCAGCTAGTCCTGTGGATGCTACGACCCAGAGACAGCCAGTAGCATCTGTGGTTGACGCAGACGACATGCGTAAACTTAGTGACAGGTTAGCACAATTTTCTATTCAGGTACAGGAATAGATACTTCACTAATCGAACTCCTCCTGAATCACGACGACGTAGACACAGATCGTTGTCACGAAATAGGGAAAACTATCAGGACAACGTATTTTGCCCACCAGGCACATAAAAGCCGTAAACCTTGCAGGTTTAGCGCGAATTTCTTTGGCAGTAGATCGACACAGCAAGCGAGAAACGACGTTCCCGGCAGCAAGTGAAGACGGCGTTCGCTACCGGGGAAAAAATATTAACCGTCTATTTTATGTTATGGACGCCAATTCTGGTTACCTATTCTTGGTTGACACGGGTGCACAAGTTAGTGTGATACAGAAAACATGGCGACCAAAGCTACATCATACAACCTCCAAGCTGCCAACGGTTCTCGAATAGAAACCTATGGTGAAAAATCACTTACATTAAACCTGGGATTACGTAGATCATTCACTTGAGTATTTACCATCGCGCAAGTAAAGTCACCAATTCTAGGAGCTGATTTCCTGGCCCATTTTAAACTCAATGTGAGCATGTCTTCCCGATCCTTAGAAGATAAACATACTGATATTGCAATTAAGGGAATTACTTCAAAATTGACAACGGCAGGTATCAGTACAACCCTACCCACTGCCAACGGTCTTCAACACTTATTACGGAAACACCCAGAAATTCTGACACCGTTCAACTGTATGGAGCCAATCTTACACAATGCGGAACACAGGATACAGACGACTGGTGT